TCGAAAAACAAACAAAAAGAGCAAAAACAAAAAGATATTTATGGAGTACCTACTAAATGTCAGGTGCTAGGAACCCCACAGGGACAGGTAACCCAGCAACTGGGATATGACGGGGGCCTCCGTGGGGGAGGCAGTGGGCAGAGGCAGGGATGTCCAAGCTGAGATTTAAGGGACAAAGAAGGGTGCAGACAGATGAGCAGTGGGTGGCACAGTCTTCCAGGCGGAGGGAGCAGCACTAGCGGTGTGGGTGAGGGAGATGGTTTTTGGTCCCTGTCTCACTCTCACGTGCAGATGGACTCCCTGTTCATCCACCAGTCAGTCCATCTGCCCAGCACCCACCGACTTCCCGCCTCTCCGGTATCCTCACCCCATCCAGCCTACCATCCCCGGCTGGGACCAGCACCGTCCCTCCTCCCTCATCCACCAGCTCCAGCCTCATACCCAGAACATGTCTCTGTGCAGCAGAGCAGAGGAGGCCAAAGTCCCCCGCCGCCATGCTCAGCCTCTATTTGAGCAGCTGTCAGGGGCACCCCAGCCGCACCCAGCTGAGTCAGGGCTGATAGTGCCCTGGAGAGAAATATCCTCCCCAGTCAGGTCTGGCAGGCACTGGGGCGGGGACTGGGCTCGAGGAAGCTGGGGTAGGCCTTTGATCGGAGGGATCTTTAAAGCAGTGTTTCCATCAAGGCAGGGCATGGAGTCACTGAGCTCAAAGCCCCCTTGGGCTTAGAGGGGAGATCAGCCCAACAAGGGCCTGAAGTTTGCTGCTCCAGGGTTCAACCTACCTCCCAATGTCTGTGTCTCAAGCCGTGACCGACCGTGAACTCTCAGGGAGCCAACGGAAACTTGGGCTCAGAGAAGTTGAGCAATTTACCCCGAGTCACACAGCCAGGTCCGATGGAGACCCAGTGAGACTTCAGAGATAACTGCTTTGGGGTCAGGCTCCCTGGATCCAAATCTGATCTGACACTGATTCACTAGGCTAAATTAGGGCGAGTCCCCTCTCTGGGTGTTCCTCAGTTTCCTTATCTGTAAAAGGAGGCTAATGGCAGCACCCATATATGGGAAAGGGAACAGGACATGCAAAGGTCCTTGGGTAGAGCTATGTCCTGGTATTGAGAGAAGCATCTAGGAGGCCGAGACGGCTGGAGTGGATCGAAAGAGGGAAAGAAAGGGAGGAGGCAAGGCAGGGAGGAGACAGGGCTGATCGTACGGGGCCTTGTGCGTTGTGGAAGGACTTTGTTTTTTGTTTGTTGGTTGGTTGGTTGTTTTGTTGCTGTTGTTGTTTTGAGACAGTCTCGCTCTGTCGCCCAGGCTAGAGTGCAGTGGTGCGATCTCGGCTCACTGCAACCTCTGTCTCCTGGGTTCAAGCAATTCCCTGCCTCAGCTTCCCAAGTAGCTGAGACTATAGGCAAGCCCACCACACCTGGCTAATTTTTGTATTTTTAGTAGAGATGGGGTTTCACTGTATTCACACTGGTCTCGAACTCCTGACCTTGTGATCCACCCGCCTTGGCCTTCCATAGTGCTGGGATTACAGGCGTGAGCCACCACAGCTTGTTGTTGTCGTTTTGAGACAGTGTCTCACTCTTTTGCCCAGGGCAGGGGCACAATCTCAGCTCACTGAAACCTCTGCCTCCCAGGTTTAAGCGAGACTCATGCCTCAGCCTCCCTTATAGCGCAGACTACAGGTGCATGCCACCGTGCCTGGCTAATTTTAGTATTTTTAGTAGAGATGGGGGTTTCACCATGATGGCCAGGCTGGTCTTGAACTCCTGACCTCAAGTAATTCACCAGCCTTGGCCTCCCAAAGCGCTGGGATTACAGGCATGAGCCGCCACGCCCGGCGGGTTGTAGGAGGACTTAGGCTTTGACCCTGAGTGAGGTGGGAGCCACGGAAGGTTCTGAACAGAGGGGGGACCTGATATGCAGGTGTTCCCAGGCTCTTTCTGACCACGGATGCAGGAACAAGCTGAGGGGAAGATGAGCAAGGGAGCTGGGAGACCAGATATAAAGGGGGCTGGACTGGAACTGGGCTGATAAATGTGCAAATCTTCACTCATCTGTGTGTTTCCTGCCCAGCCCAGCTCCCAGCAGCCTGAGAGGCAAGGCGGGGACTTTAGCCAAGAGACTTCAGGGTGACACTGGGTGGGGCACAGCAGGGAGTGATGGGTGGAGTTCCACTTGGTGTCTCCCAGGCCAAAGTGGCTGGACCACTCCGAGCAGGTGTGAGGGCTGTGTGCACAGGTCGCATGTCAGGTGGTGAGCAGCCGCACTGCAGCCTGACTAGTAGGATGCTCTCCTGGGTCTGAGTGGCAGGGTTTGGGGATTCCCCTACAATCCAGGCCTCCTTCCTATGGGTTCAAGGACTGACATGGATTCACTGGTCAGCAAGGCAAGAAACTGTGTCTCAGGGCGGACGAGGTGGCTCATACCTGTAATCCTGGCACTTTGGGAGGCCAAGACAGGTGGATCACCTGAGGTCAGGAGTTCAAGACCAGCCTGGCCATCATGGTGAAACCCTCCTCTACTAAAAATGCAAAAATTAACCAGGCGTGTTGGCGGGCGCCTGTAATCCCAGCTACTTGGGAGGCTGAGGCAGGCAAATCGCTTGAATCCAGGAGACGGAGGTTGTAGTGAGCTGAGATCGTGCCATTGCACTCCAGCCTGGGAGACAGAGTGAGACTCTGTCTCAAAAAACAAACAAACAAAAAACCCCCACAAAACTCTGTCTCTCTGGGCCTCAGTTTCCTAATCTGTAAATAGAGTATATAAATTGGCCAGGCGCAGTGGCTCATGTCTATAACCTCAGCACTTTGGGAGGCCGAGGTGGGTGGATCACCTGAGGTCAAGAGCAGCCTGGCCAACATGGTAAAACGCCATCTCTACTAAAAATACAAAAAGTTAGTCAGGTGTGGTGGCGAGTGCCTGTCATCCCAGCTACTCGGTAGGCTGAGGCAGAAGAATCACTTGAACCCAGGAGGCAGAGGTTGCAGTGAGCCAAGATTACACTATTGCACTCCTGCCTGGGCAACAAGAACGAACCTCTGTCTCAAAAAAAAAAAAAAAAAAAAAAAAAAAAAAAGGCTGGGCATGGTGGCTCACGCCTGTAATCACAGCACTTTGGGAGGCCGAGGTGGGTGGATCACAAGGTGAAGAGATCAAGACTATCCTGGCCAACATGGTGAAACCCCGTCTCTACTAATACAAAAATTAGCTGGGCATACTGCCACATGCCTGTCAGTCACAGCTACTCAGAAGGCTGAGGCAGGAGAATCGCTTGAACCCCGGAGGCAGAGACTGCAGTGAGCCAAGATCTTGCCATTGTACTCCAGCCTGGGCAACAAGAGCGAAACTCCGCCTCAAACAAATAAAGCAAAAAACAAAACTAGAGGTTATAATGCCAGCAACCCATAGTCGGAAGGAGAACAGCACACGCAGAGACCCTGAGGTAGAGCCACGGCCTGGTGTGATTCAGCCTCAAATTCTCCCTGGGGCATTTGCTGAGCAGGGAAGGAAGGGCTGTCCAGAAGGACCTGGCAGTGCAGAGGCATCCAGGTGGGAAAGGGGTGAGCCCCTCCAGGGGGTCGTGTGGGCTGGACAGTTCTCTAAAAATGCCGCACGGGTGCCGGGAGAGAGGCCAGCGGGGAGCGATTTGAGACAGATGATTAACCAAGACATCCCCACCTCTTCCTCTTGGTGGAGGCAGCCCGGCCAGTCCAGACTCCCAGACTGGCTCACTCAGGTCCCACCACCCAGACCTGGGTCACATCTCCTGGCACCCCAGTGCCTAGCCAGGCTCCTCTGCCTCCCATGCTCTAGACTGGGAACATGGCCCATGCAGGCCCCAGAGACCCCTGGGAGTCACTCTGAGCAAGCACCTGAACACCTCTGTGCCTCAGTTTACTCATCTGTAAAATGGAGGAAAACGATAATTTCTTCTGCATGTGTGAACTGCAGGCTAGACGCAATGACAGCTTTTTTTTTTTTTTTTTTTTTTTTTTTTTTTTTTTTTTGAGACAGGGTCTCGCTCTGTCACCCAGGCACAATCACAGCTCACTGTAGCCTCGACCTCTCAGGCTCAAGCAATCCTCCCACCTCGGTCTCCCGAGTAGCTGGGATTGCAGGCACACAGCACCATGCCTGATTCCTTTTTGTATTTTTTGTGGACACGGGGTCTCATTATGTTGCCCCGGCTGGTCTCCAGCTCCTGGGCTCAAGCAATCCTCCTGCCTTGGTCTCCCAAAGTGCTGGGATTACAGGGGTGGGCCACCACCCACGACCACAATTATATTTACGGGTATGATTATGAGATACGCAAACGTCGTTAGTGTTTTCCAGCCAGGAGTCAGAGAGCTAAAGAGCGCCCCCACCAGATCCCGGGAACCTGCAGCCCACTCAGCCTGGGTCCCAGGGCCTCCCCTCCTTCCCTCCCTCCTTAGCCTCAGTTTCCCCAGCCTTGTTCCTGGGGTGAACAGAGCGACCCCCCTTAAACCCCGAGAGCCCGGGTCTCAGCGCGTCCCTTCCCTCCCTCCCCCCTCAGGCTCAGTTTCTCCAGCCCAGCTCCTGGGGTGGAAAGAGCGCCCCCGCCAGCCTGGGAGTCCGGGGCCCACCCAGTCTGGGTCCCTGCACCTCCTCTCCCCCACTTCCCTCCTCAGCGTCAGTTTCCCCAGTCCTTCTCCTAGGGTGGAAAGAGCGTCCCCCCAGTCCGGAGTCTCAGTTTCCCCAGTCCTTCTCCTAGGGTGGAAAGAGCGTCCCCCCAGTCCGGAGTCTCAGTTTCCCCAGTCCTTCTCCTAGGGAGGAAAGAGCGTCCGCCGCAGTCCGGGAGTCTGGGGCCCTCCCAGCCTAGGTCCCAGGGCCTCCCGTCCGTCCGCAGCCTCAGTTTCCCCAACTCCCAAGACTCCAGGCGACCCCTCCGCCCGGCAGGGGCAGCACGGAGCGGCCCGGGCCACCCGGAAGGGCCCCGCCCCCGCGCCGGCCCCGCCCCGCCCGGGCTGCCCAGAACCGGGAGACGGCGGCGGCTGCGAGGCCCGGGCGCGGGGCGGAGGCGGCGGCGGGACGCGGGGACCATGGCGGCCGCTGAGCGCCGCGCCTTCGCGCACAAGATCAACAGGTAGCTGGGCCGCTGGGCCCCCTCCCGCCTCCCCCACGTGGCCCGGCCCCGCCCCGGGGCGGTGCGACCCTCCCCGCCCGGGCGCCCCCAGTTCAACCCGTTTCCGCCTGGGCCCGGGTCCTGCCTGCTTCCTCCGGCCGGGGCTGGGGGCTGGAGAAGGCGGGGAGGGCGGCGGGGGTCCCGGCGGGGGAACCCCAGCTGGGAGTCGCGTCGGAGCCGGGAGCGCGATGGCGGCTGCCGTTCTGCCTCCCAGACGCGCGGGGGCGTGTCCGGAGGGCTTCGCGGAGGAGGCGGCGCGGGGATGCGGGTACCGGGCGCCCCCTGCACTCCCTGCGCGCCCTCACTGTCCCTGCGCCCTCTGAGATCAGGAGGCCGGACTTTCTGTTCCCTTCTCAGTGCCTGGTTTGGGGCAGGGCAGCTCCAGGCTCTGAGATTTGGGGACAGAGATGGGCTTCTTGTTGGCTTTTGAAACCCTTCGAGGAGTTTCCCGTGCCCTTCCCCCTCCAGGGTCCGGTGCCCAGCTGTCGGGGGGGGAAGGGGGACAGCTGTGGACGCCCCCCCACTCAGTGCTTCAGGCTCTCCCAGCACGGGCTGGACGGCGCTGGGGATGGATGGGTGATTGAATAGAGGGAGTGGGGGCTGGGGACAGAACCAGCTGGTGGGCAGACGGGGGAGGGGACAGACGCCAGGCGCTGGGGGATCCATTTTCGTGGCCACTGGTGATTGTGAGAGTCACAGCCTGGGAGGGGGATGTCAGACTTTCTGGGGCTGAAAAACCTTGTCCTCATTATTGGGGAGGGGTGTCTTTGCACAAGGGTGGGTTCCAAAACTCAGATATCCTCTCCGCCGAGACATGTCATGACTGCCCCCAGGTGAAAGAGCTGCACTGTGGGTTGGGCCCTGGTGTCCTGTAGACAACCCAGTCTTGGGAGGTAGTGGCGGAGAGAGAGAGAGACCAACCAGAAGCCTCATCAAATAGATTACCTGTCACTGCTAAGTGCTGTGGAGACAAGAAGACAGGGAAGGGTGATGGGAGCACGCCTGCTGCTTGAGATGTGGGAGATGGGTCAGGAAGCCCTAGAGGAACAGGTGCGTTTGAGCAAAGACCTCAAGGAGATGAGGAAGGGATCAGGGCCTGTTTGTGGGGGAAAAGAGTACCAAGAGTTTGTGCAAAGGCCCTAAGGCAGGAACAGAGAGCTGGAGGGGGCAATAGGATTAGAATGTGCAGGGTCCTGTGGGCTGTGCAAGGAACTTTGACTTTTGACCCCAAGTGAGGTGGGAGCCATGGAGAGTCCTCAGCAGAGGACAGATGTGGTGGCTGGGGCATAATGGCTGGGCAATTTTTATGTTCTATCATTATCTTTGTCTGTAAATTGGCTCTCTGTCATAGACTTTGGGCGTCTTGAGGCTGCAAACATTATTACTTTCTGTTTCTTTTTTTCTTTCTTTCTTTCTTTCTTTCTTTTATTTATTTATTTTTTTTTTTGAGACAGAGTCTCGCTCTGTTGCCCAGGCTGGAGTGCAATGGTGCAATCTCAGCTCACTGCAACCTCAGCCTCCCAGGTTCAAGCAATTCTTGTGCTTTGGCCTCCTGAGTAGCTGGGATTACAGGCGCCCACCACCACGCCCAGCTAATTTTTGTATTTCTAATAGAGACGGGATTTCACCATGTTGGCCAAGCTGGTCACAAACTCCTGACCTCAGGTGAGCTGTGTGCCTTGGCCTCCCAAAGTTGCGGGATTACAGACGTGAGCCACCGAGCCCAGGCTTTTTTTGTTTCTTCTTTTTTTGAGACGGAGTTTTGCTCTGTCACCCAGGCTGGAGTGTGGTGGTGACACCTTGCTTGGCTCACTGCAGCCTCAACCTCCCAGCTCAAGTGATCCATCTGCCTCAGCCTCCCAAGTAGCTGGGATTACGTACAGGTGCATGCTGAACACTTGGCTAACTTTTGAATCTTTTGTAGAAATAGGATCTCACTATCCTGCCCAGGCTGGCCTCAAACTCCTGGATCAAGCAATCCTCCTGCGTCGGCTTCCCAAATGCTGGGATTATAGGCATGAGCCATTGGGTCTAGCCTACTGTTTCTCTGCATTTCAGTCCCTATGTCCTTGGGTCCTGGGTTTTACTCAAGTGAGAAAGAGGGGTTTTGGGTACTATAGAGCTCAGGGTAAGAGCAGAGAATGATCCTGGGGCCCTAGTGAGCTGTGAGCAAGTGGCCCAGGCCTTCCAAAGCAGGCACCCAGGTATCTGCATACTCAGAGCTGTTTCTGTATTCATCTGGTCATCCATTCAGTCATTAATTCCACAAATGCCAAATTAACCTGAATAAGGCAGTCCAGATTTCTAATGAAAAGATTCTTTATTTGTTTGTTTGTTTTTTGAGATGGAGTTTCACTCTTGTTGCCGAGGCTGGTGTGCAATGGCGTGATCTCAGCTCACCGCAACCTCCGCCTCCTGGACTCAAGCAATTCTCCTGCCTCAGCCTCCCAAGTAGCTGGGATTACAGGCATGCACCACCATACCCAGCTAATTTTGTATTTTTAGTAGAGACGGGGTTACTGAACCTAAGGGGTACTTTTTTTGCTTTTTGTTTTATTTTTGAGATGGAGTCTTGCTCTGTTGCCAGGCTAGAGTGCAGTGGTGTGGTCTCGCTCACTGCAACCTCCGCCTCCCAGGTTCAAGCAATTCTCCTGCCTCAGCCTCCTGAGTAGCTGGGACTACAGGTGTGCGCCACCATGCCCAGCTAATTTTTGTATTTTTTGTAGAGGCGAGGTTTCACCATGTTGGCCAGGATGGTCTCGATCTCTTGACCTCATGATCTGCCTGGCTTTTCCTCCCAAAGTGCTGGGATTACAGGCGTGAGCCACTGTACCCTTCCCTGAAACTGAGGTTTAAAGTGGTTGTCACTCTCGACCAGGCACGGTACCTTACACCTGTAATCCCAGCATTTTGAGAGGCTGAGGAGCACGGATCACCTGAGGTCAGGAATTCAACACCAGCCTGAACAACATGATGAAACCCTGTCTCTACTAAAAATACAAAAATTAGCCAGGAGTGGTGGCATATGCCTGTAATCCCAGCTACTTGGAAGGCTGAGGCAGGAGGATCACTTGAACCCAGGAGGTGGAGGTTGCAGTGAGCCAAGATGGGGCATTGCACTCCAGCCTGGGCGATAGAGCAAGACCCATCTCAAAAAAAAAAAAAAAAAAATGGTTGTCACTCTTGAAAGTGTCCAAGGGGAAGTGAACCAAGAACAATTTCGGAAACCTTTTTGTGAAGATGGGATCTTACTCTGCTGCCCAGCCTGGTCTCAAACTCCTGGCCTCAAGGGATTCTCCCACTTGGTCCTCCGAAGTGTTGAAATTCCCACTCTCAAATATCCCCCAGCATCTTTATTCGCTTCCTCCTGGGCCTCTCTGACAGTAACATCTTCATTTTCAGCTTCAGGTGTCTTATGTGAGCCAGTTTACGTTTTACATTTAAAGAAATAATGGCCGACTGGGTACAGTGGCTCACGTCTGTAATCCCAGCACCTTGGGAGGCCGAGGTGGGCGGATCAAGAGGTCAGAAGTTCGACGCCAGCCTGGCCAATATGGTGAAACCCGGTCTCTACTAAAAACACAGAAATTAGCCGGCGTGGTGGCGTGCGCCTGTAGTCCCAGCTTCTCGGGAGGCTGAGGCAGAAGAATCGCTTGAACCTGGGAGGCAGAGGTTGCAGTGAGCCGAGATCACACAGTGCACTCCAGCCTGGGCAACAAAGCAAGACTGTCTCAAAAAAAAATTAATTAATTAATTAAATGAATATTTTTAAACAATTAAAAAATTTAACAAAACAAAACAAGGTCAGAAACCCAGCTGCCTAGAACTGTCTTTGAGGACAAGATGGTGGCAGCAGGTCTTAATTGAGCACTTACTGTGTGCAAAGACTTAACTCAGAACAGCGCAAGAAGGTGGGCAGTGTCCTGAGCACTGAGGCTGAGAGGCTGACGGTCACTCCTCTGTGGTCCATGGCTCCTCGTGCAGAGCCCTGCGATGCAGTCAGCTGGCTCCGTGGCCATGGTATTGCAGACCCAGCCTTTTCCACTGCAGCGGCCTCTCTCCAAGGCCAAGGGGAAAATGAAGCTGGAGGCCCAGCTGTCCCTCGTTCCCTCTTCCTCCTCTGGAGCAGCAGCTGCAGAACAGCTGGAACCAGGGCACAGCTTTGTCCCCTGTCCCAGCATCTTTTGTAAATTATCCCCGATCCCCTGTGTGCCCAGGGTTCTGGAGGCAGTGGCCCAACTTTGGGAATTTGAAGGCAAAAGCCCTAATTTTTCACTTCCTTTGAATTTCCCACAAGCGCCGTTCTCACCCCCGTCAGTAGATGCAAGACTCTTAAGAGACAAGAGCAAAAATAGACGGACTATGGGGTTGGAGGAGGGAGGCCGGGGTCTCAGACTAGAGGCCTCCACATTGTATGAAGGTAATGATCAAGTTTTGTTTTTGACCCGTACGATTTTTTTTTTTCTTTTTCAAGACAGAGTCTTGCTCTGTCGCCCAGGCTTGGAGTGCAGTGGTGCAATCTCGGCTCACTGCAACCTCCACCTCCCAAGTGCAAGCGATTCTCATGCCTCAGCCACACAAGTAGCCAGGATTACAGGCGTATGCCACCATAGCTAGTTAATTTTTTGTATTTTAATAGAGACGAGGTTTCACCATATTCGCCAGGCTGCTCTCGAATAGCTGATCTCAAGTGGTCTGCCTGCCTCAGCTTCCCAAAGAGCTGGGATTTACAGGCAGGAGCCACTGCACCCAATCAATTTTTTGTTTTGTTTTGAGACAGGGTATTGCTCTGTCATCCAGGCTGGAGTGCAGTGGCACAATCGTGGCTCACTGCAGCCTCTACCTCCCAGGCTCAAGCGATCCTCCCACCTCAGCCTCCGGAGTAGCCAGGACTACAAACAGCTACCACCATGCCTGACTAATCTTTTAATTTTTTGTAGACTGAGTCTCTCTGTGTTGTCCAGGCTGGTCTCAAACTCCTGGGTTCAAGGAATCCTCCTGCCTCAGCCTCCCAAAGTGCTGTGATAACAGGCATAAGCCATTATGCCCAGCCAGACCCATATAGATTTTAATTGAGAGGCCTCCGGGCTGGGCGCGGTGGCTCACACCTGTAATCCCAGCACTTTGGGAGGCCGAGGCGGGTGGATCATGAGGTCAGGAGTTTGAGACCAGCCTGACCAACATAGTGAAACCCCATCTCTACTGAAAATACAAAAAATAAGCCAGTGTAGTGGCGGGCACCTATAATCCCAGCTACTTGGGAGGCTGAGGCAGGAGAATCGCTTGAATCCAGGAGACAGGGGTTGCAGTGAGCCAAGATCGCACCACTGCATTCCAACCTGAGGACAGTACAAGATTCTGTCTCCAAAAAAAAAAGAGACCTCCAGACAGGGCTGAGACTCCAGTCTGGAGGCCTTTGTCTGCCCCGCCCCCATCCTGTGCTTAGAGACTTCTCTGTACCTGCCACACATTCAGCTCATTGATGGCCCCTGGGCCATGGGGTTTGCAGTAGTCGGCATTGCACTTTTTTTGAGCACAACTGTTTTTTTGGTGTTTTGCCCTGTCACCCAAGCCGGAGTGTAGTGATGCAACCGTAGCTCACCGCAGCCTCAAACTCCTGGGCTCCAGCGATCCTCCCACCGAAGCCTCCAGAGCAGCTGGGACTACAGGCACGCACCACCATGCCCAGCTAATTGTTAAATGTTTTATAGAAATGGGTCTTGCTACAACTTTGTCCGCACCTGGGGAGGCTTGTGGGTAACCCATCTCCCTGGTGAGCACTAGGTACGTGAGCGGCTGAGACATATGTTTATTTCTTCAATGTTTTTCAGGGTTCAATTTACTCAGTGGGATGTGCAGGCTGGTCTTGAACTCCTGGCCTCAAGCGATCCTCTTGCTTCAGCCTCCCAAAGTACTTGGGATTAGAGGCAAGAGCCACTGTGCCTGGCTGAGCACAGCTGTTTTTTTTTGTTGTTGTTTGTTTGTTTTTTGAGATGGAGTTTCGATATTGTTGCCCAGGCTGGAGTGCAGTGGCACGATCTCGGCTCACCACAACCTCCACCTCCCGGGTTCAAGCAATTTTCTTGCCTCAGCCTCCCGAGTAGCTGGGACTACAGGCATGCACCACCACACCCAGCTAATTTTTTATTTTGAGTACAGACAGGGTTTCTTTTTTATTTTTTATTTTTATTTTTATTTTTAAGATGGGGTTTCACCATGATGGCCAGGCTGGTCTTGAACTCCTGACCTCAGGTGATCCACCCACCTCGGCCTCCCAAAGTGCTAGGATTACAGGCGTAAGCCATCACACCTGGCGCAAGGACAACTATTTATTGTGAAAATTTACTGACCACTCCACTGCATACCTTGTTGTCTCAGAAAAAAAAATTACAAGCACACAGGAAACTGGGACGCAGAAGGGAGTCAGGCCTGAACACCCAGGCAATCAGCTTCTCTATTTTAAGAGGGACTGAGGTCCAGAGAGGATATCCTACCTGCCCAGAGCCACACAGCTAGAAGGCCTGGGGCTTCCCCTCACGCAGCAGTTTTGGGCAGGTCGTAGAATAAGGCTGGGAGGGACTCGCATTCTATCAAAAAAAGTAGGAGGTGGGCAGATCACTTAAGTTCAGGAGTTCAAGACCAGTCTGGGCAACATGGTGAGACTCTGGCTCTACTAAAAATAGAAAACTTAGCCAGGTGAGGTGATGCAGAACTGTAATCCCAGCTCCTCTGGAGACTGAGGTGGGAGGAGGATCACTTGGGCCTGGGAGGCAGAGGTTGCAGTGAGCTGATAGCATGCAGCTACACTCCGGCCTGCGTGACAGATCAACCCTGCCTCAAAACAAAACAAAAAAAAACATAGGCCAGGCGCAGTGGCTCACACCTATAATCCCAGCACTTTGGGTGGCCAAGGCAGGTGTATCACATGAGGTCAGGGGTTTGAGACCAGCCTGGCCAACATGGTGAAACCTCGTCTCTGCGAAAAATATAAAAAATTAGCTGGGCATGGTGGTGTGCACCTGTAATCCGAGCTACTCGGGAGGCTGAGGCAGGAGGATCGCTTGAACCTGGGAGGTGGAGCTTGCAGTGAGCCAGGATCACAGCCATTGCACTCCAGCCTGGGCAACAAGAGCAAAACTCCATAAAAAAAAAAAAAAAAAAAAACATGGGCACAGTGGCTCACGTCTGTAATCCCAGCACTTTGGGAGGCCGAGGCAGGCAGATCATGAGGTCAGGAGTTAGAAACCAGCCTGGCCAACATAGTGAAACCCCATCTCTACTGAAAAATACAAAAAAAATTTAGCCGAGTGTGGTGGCAGGCACCCATAATCCCAGCCACTCGGGAGACTGCGGCAGGAGAATCACTTGAACCCCGGAGGTGGAGGTTGTAGTGAGCCGAGCTTGAGCTTGTGCCATTACACTCCAGCCCAGGCAACAGTGCGGGACTTGGTCTCAAAAAAAAAAAAAAAAGGAGTGAGCGCCTAGTATGTGCACGGCCCTCTCTGGGGGTGACACAGCTCTAGTTTCTGCCTTCACAGAGACCCCAGGGAGCAGGAGTCTCCGCACTCAAAGCTCGGCACCTCATCTTGGGGCCTTTCCACCTGCTGTGGCCCTGCCTGGCATCCTCCCCCACCACCCCACCGTAACTGCATGGCTCTCTCTCCCTCCCCTCCTGAGCTCAGCCAGAGGAGCTGGAGGCCTGAGCTGTCCCTGTCCCCACTGGCTCTGCTCCACATTCCTGCACAGTCCCCTCTGCTAAGAGTGTTGCCCCTCCACCCTCATCCTCCCTGATTTTGTTTTGTTTTGTTTTGAGACCGAGTCTTGCTCTGTCACCCAGGTTGGGGTTCAGTGGCACGATCTCGGCTCACTGCAACCGGCGCCTCCTGGGTTCAAGCGATTCTCCTGCCTCAGCTTCCCAAGTAGCTGGGACTACAGGCATCCAGCTAATTTTTGTGTTTTTAGTAGAGACGAGATTTCCCCATGTTGGCCAGGCCCGTCTTGGCCTTCTGATCTCAGGTGATCTGCCCAGCTCTGCCTCCCAAATTGCTGGGATTATAGCTGTGAGCTACTGCACCCGGCCATCCTCCCTGATTTTGAAGTCCTGCCCAAGTGGCCCAGGAAGACCTCAGGGTCCACCTTGGTTGCATGGGGTTACTTAAAAGGCCTCCCAGCTCTGGGCCCTGCAGGCCAGGTTGACCTCTAACACAACGGCCTCATCTCAGGATCTCTGCAACTTCAGGCCAGGCCCCAGGCTCCGATCTGCCCAGCAGCCCTCTGAAGTCAGGGCAGTAGCTACAGATGGGGAAACTGAGGCTCAGAGGTAGAAATGCCTTATCCCAGGCCTCATAGCAAGGATGGGAAGGGATGTATGATCTGGATGGGGTCCAGGGGGCAGGGCTGGGTGTGTTGGGGAACACCAGGATGGACAGAGGTCCCCCAGATGAGGGAGCAGAGGCCAGGGACCTGTGGGCCTCCCTCCAGATCTGGAAGGCCACAGGCCCAGCTGGGAGGGGAAGGAGAGTCTCTGAGTCTCTGATGGCTTCAGACCCCACTGTGGCAGCATTCCCATCTCCTGGTCTGTGCTTGATGGGGAAGGGGTTAGGAGGGCCCAAGGCCCATCTCTGGGGAAACTGGGGAGCTCTGGGCCCCCAAAGCCTCAGCAGTCCTGGTTCTCTTGGCCCTCAGCCTATTTATTCCATTCCACAATCTGGATTTTCCTCATAGAAGGAATCTGTCGGCAGGCTGGGCACAGTGGCTCACGCCTGTAATCACAGCTCTTTGGGAGGCTGTGGTGGGCGGATCACGAGGCCAGGAGTTCAAGACGAGCCTGGCCACCATGGCGAAACCCCGTGTCTACTAAAAACACAAAAATTAGCTGGGCACAGTGGGACATGACTATAGTCCCAGCTACTCAGGAGGCTGTGGCAGGAGAATGGCTTGAACTTGGGAAGCAGAGGTTGCAGTGAGCCGAGACCACACCACTGCACTCCAGCCTGGTGACAGAGCGAAACTCCATCTCAAGAAAAAAAAAAAAGAATCTGTTGGCCCAAAGCCTGGGTTCTCAGGGCCCCGCTGCCTGAGTTTTCCTGCTCCCAACGGGCCCCTCCCTGTCTTTCCAGGACGGTGGCCGCAGAGGTGCGGAAGCAGGTGTCCCGGGAACGCAGTGGCTCCCCCCACTCCAGCAGGCGCTGCAGCAGCTCCCTGGGGGTAAGTAATTGGGGGTCCACCCCCAGTCCCCAGCCCCCTGCCCTCTCTCAGACAGAGGTACAGGCTTCCTTGTCTTAGGTGCTATCCCACCCCTCCCTTCTGTGCCCTGACCTGTGGGGAAACAGAGAGGGACCCAGCAGTGTCAGGGGAGGGAGTCCTTGTCCTGGTCTTAGTACTGTCATCAATTCCTGTGGCCACTCTCCCTGCAGCTGCTTGTCACCTTGTGGGTGGTCGCAAGGAGTGGCTCCCTCCTGATGTCGCCCACCTCCTGACGCTTAGACCACGCAGATGGGAATAGGGGAGTGGGGTGTTGGGGGAGGGGAGTGACTTTCACCTGAGAGGGGCGGGGCCATCTTGCCCTTGGGGTTGGGGGGCTTTAGAAATTGTCTCTTGCCTGGCCTCTGTCAATGCTTCTTTCCTTCCAACATTAGTTCCTGCCCTTTCAGGCATGGGGTGTGGTTTCCTTCCTGGAGCCCCTGGAGGGAGGGGCGGGGCAGGGAAAGCTGAGCTGGGGGTGGAGAGTCTGAGGTCACTGTACTCCATGGCTCCCCCGTAGCTCCAACACCTCCATGGCTCCCACCGCCCTCCTGTTTGAGTATGAAGCCAGCACACAGCCACTCCCACCTCATGCCCCCCACCCTCAGCCTCCTGGGCAGTGTGACCACAGCCACTCTGCTCCAATCCAGGTCCCGCTGACTGAAGTTGTTGAGCCGCTGGACTTTGAGGACGTACTTCAGAGCCGGCCACCAGAAGCTGAGCCTGGGCCCCTCAGGGACCTGGTAGAATTCCCAGCTGATGACTTGGAGCTGCTGCTGCAGCCCCGGGAATGCCGGACCACAGAGCCCGGGATCCCCGAGGATGAGTGGGTTCAGCCTCACCCTCTCTACCTATGATTCCACTCTGTCTCTGCCACCCCCATAACAGCCCGAGTTCAGCTCCTGGCTCGGCAGTGACCTTGGACAAGCCATGCTTTTTCTCTGAGCCTCCCTCTCCCCTTTTCTGGAGTAGGCAGGACAGAATCGACCTCACAGTCCAGTGGGAGGATTCACAGAGGCCCTGACTCTGTTTACCCTGATTTTCTTTCTTTTTTTTTTTTTCGAGACAGAGTTTCACTCTTATTGCCCAGGCTGGAGTGCAATGGCACAATCTTGACTCACTGCAGCCTCTGCCTCCTGGGTTCAAGCGATCCTCCTGCCTCAGCCTCCCTTGTAGCTGGTATTACAGGCGCCCACCACCATGCCCAGCTAATTTTGTATTTTTAGTAAAGACAGAGTTTCTCCACATTAGTCAGTTTGGTCTTGAACTCCCAACCTCAGGTGATCTGCCCGCCTTGGTCTCCCAAAATGCTGGGATTACAGGTGTGAGCCACCACACCCGGGCTTTTTCTTTCTTTTGAGGCAGAGTTTCGCTGTTGTTGCCCAGGCTGGAGTGCAGTGGCATGATCTCAGATCACCGCAACCTCTGCCTCCCCGGTTCAAGTGATTCTCCTGCCGCAGCCTCCCAAGTAGCTGGGATTACAGTGATGCACCACCACGCCCAGCTAATTTTTTATTTTTAGCAGAGACAGGGTTTCTCCATGTTGGTGAGCCTGGTCTTGAACTCCCAACCTCAGGTGACCCGCACACCTCGGCCTCCCAAAGTGTCGGGGTGACAGGCGTGAGCCACCGTACCTGGCTACCCTGATTTTCTTTTGCTGCAGAAAACTGGATGCCCAGGTGAGGGCCGCGGTGGAGATGTATGTTGAAGACTGGGTCATCATCCACAGAAGGTGGGTCTGACTTGGGGGGCAGATCAGGGGGTTCAGAATCCAAAAGGGCTGAGCTGCTGTCCGCAGCCAGTCCTGCTGTGTATCTGCCCACTACCCCTGCAAGAGCAGGCAGACTCGTCTGGTGGAGCACAAGGAGGGTGGCCACGCAGGCACCGTGGTGTGGGCGTGTCGGAGCACGCTGGGGAGCCCCGGGGGCCCTCAGCCCTCCCTGCCTGCCCAGCCCCATTTCCTGCTAGATACCAGTACCTGAGCACCGCATACAGCCCCATCACCACGGAGACACAGCGAGAGCGACAGAAGGGCCTCCCCCGCCAGGTCTTTGAGCAGGACACTTCTGGGGACGAGAGGTCCGGCCCTGAGGACTTGGTGAGGAAGCCTCTGGCTGGGGTCACTGCAGGGGTATGTGTGTAGGCTCCGGCCTCAGCTTTTGGTCACATGTGACAAGAAACGACCCAAACAGCCTTGAGCTCAAAAGGAATTACATCAGTCCCCATGAGTAAAAAGTTAGGGGTAGGCCGGGCACGGTGGCTCACACCTGTAATCCCAGCACTTTGGGAGGCCGAGGTGGGCGGATCACGAGGTCAGGAGATCCAGACCATCCTGGCCAACATGGTAAAACCCCATCTCTACTAAAAATACAAAAATTAGCCGGATGTGGTGGCGGGTACCTATAATCCCAGCTACTCAGGAGGCTGAGGCAGGAGAATCGCTTGAGCCAGGGAGTCAGAGGTTTCAGTGAGCCGAGATGGCACCACTTCACTCCAGCCTGGTGATAGAGCGAGAATC